TCCCCTTGCCGGCCCCCTTGCCAGCCCCCGTGCCGTGCCCGTGGCCGCGGCCGCGGCCGCGCGCTCCCCGGCCCCGCCCCTCGCCGTCGCTGACGTCATCGCCGCCGTCCTCGTCGGCGTCGTCGTCCCCGAACGCGTCGTCGAAGTCGTCGCTGACGTCATCGCCGCCGCCGCCATCAAGTGCGCCGTCGAGCAGCGCCTCCAGCCGCGCCTCTGCAGCTTCCAGCCGCGCCGCCGCGCCGCGGGCGCCGGCCGCGACCGCGGCCTCGGCCTCGGAGACGGCGGCCTCGGCGCCGCGGCGGGCGCGCCATCTCGCTACCTCGCCGTTGTCTGATGTTTTGACGGGACGAGCGGGACGAGCAGAAGTCGGATGGGTGGGTGGTTGGGACGGTGACGCGGCGACGCTGGGATGGCTGGGATCAAGTCATGTGCGCCTGCTCGCGAGGCAGCAGCAAGCCGGCAATTCCCCCAGTTCTTGCCCGCACATCCGCTGCCCCTTGAGACTCCGCCTCGACGTTCCTCGCCCAAACCTTCTTCTCCTTGCACGACACCGACTTTGCACGTGGCCCCGCGCCCCCCACCCCAAAGCGACCCCTCACCCCCACCTGACCCGTCGGCGGCGACGTCCCCCTGCCCCTGGTACACGATCCGCCCGTTGGCGTGGCGCCGCGCCACCTGCCCGTGCACGTACATCGCGCCGACCTCCGAGGGCGGGTAGAGGCGGAAGCGCTTGCGGCCGCGGAGGAGGACGTACAGATTGTCGTGAAAGTCGTGGTGCAGGCCGGTGGAGGACCCTGGGGGTCGGGGTTTGGGGGGAAAGCTGGGTAGTTGGTAGCCTGGAGGTCAACCGGGCGGTCGGTTGGGTGGTCGGTTGGACGGTCGGCTGAATTGGTGGACTTCACCGGGGATTGCACGCGCGTGTGGACGCGGCAGAGCAGCTGGGGTCAACGTCTCGTCGCGGCGGCGACGGTCGGCTGGGGTCGGGCGGGAGAGGCCGGTGGGGCAGGACCGCTTGGCCGCATTGTACACAATCCGGGCAGGCACCTGGGCCGAGCAAGAGCAGCAGCGGGCGCGCTGTCGCGCTCGCAAAAGGGAAAACAAGCCCCGCCCCTCTCCTTTTCCCTCTCCCTCTTGCCCCCTCTCCCTCAAACCCCGCCACGCCTTGCCGAGCCTCCGTGCGCACCGCTGGGCGCCGCGCCCATCCACATGTTGATGGACTGGGGCACGAGGTGCGGCAAAAGGTCCGGCTGCAGCGGCAGCAGCGACAGCAGCTGCGTCACCGGCGGCGCTGCGAGTTCCCTGTGACCGTCGGGGCCGACAGGCACCTGGGGCACATGGGAGGGGGCCACGAGAGCTCATAAGTGTGAGCGCGTGCCACTGCACGGGCACCGCCGACACCCTCTGCCGCAGCTGCTCTCAGGGGCAGACGAGCCCGCTGCCTCGCCACGCCCTGCGGCCCCGTGCGCCGCCGCCCGGGCCGCGCGGCCGCGGCTGCTGGGGAGGGGTGCGGCTTGTCATGCCGCCTTGCCAGAGGTTTGGCGCAACCGCAGCGCAGGCCCCACTCCCCACCCCCGGCGGCCTCCCCTCAGCCCTCTCACCGGTTGTGCCGACAGGTACAGCCCGGCGTCGCCACCAGCCGCGCGGCGCACAAACTCGCGGAACGGCATGTGCGCCTTGCGGCCCAGGCCGAACGCGCCGCCCGCGCCCCCGCGGACCTCGACCTGCACTTGGGCATCGCCCTGTGGTTTTGTGTTTGATTGCCGGGTGGTTGAAGCTATTTGTGGGGCTCATGCGGTGCTGCTAGCCCCGTGGGGTGCGTGGCTGCGCCCTTCCGGTCAGGTTGCTTGCGGTGTGCAAAAGTGTGGGGCCTGCTTCGATTCGGGGGACGCGCGGAAGCTGGACGGCCACGCCGTCGGGCGACAGGGCAGCATGCGGCCGAGGGCGACGCCCGCGCTGCTGGCCTGCTGCGCAAGCACTCCCTGTGCGCGCGCCGAGCTCCCGCAGCCGCTGCGCCAATTGCGACGCACCGCCAACCGCACGAGCTCGCTGTCTGTCAGCTTTGCCGCCCAGTCGCCGGGCACGCCGCGGATCAACACCTGAGTATGTGCCGCGCTTTGAGTCAGGCTTGCGCTGTGCCACTGCGCCAGGGTAGCGAGCCTGCATTCCAACCCACGCATGTGACCATGCTGTGCGCGACATGCATGTCCTGCAGCCGGCCAAGGTGCTGCTCGTGCTGGCGGTCTGGCGCAGGTGTAGCCTGGGCCAAGCCGCCGACCGAGCATGTGTACAGCTGCCACATTGACCAGTGGGCCACACTTCTGGCGCCTCCACACGCTCACCGGATTTCTCTTGCATACATAGTCCTTCCACATACGGAAGGGCGTTGCATCCTCCAGGCCGATCTTGTCGACAGCCCGCTGTGCGTCTTTCATGCTTGTGTGATTTATAACCTGGGGCTGCTATAAAATCAGGAAATTTTTTCCACCTACTGTAAACTGGGAGAAGCCCAGATCACGAGACGAGGAAGATCATCTGACACAGCTGAAAATGAATGGAATCACTTGCATCACAGGTGACGTTTGAATCATGGTTTCTCTCTGCCGTGGTACATCCATACGTTGTCCGTGCACCTGATTTCATAAACCACATCGCGCATATATCAAGCTGGAGCTCTCGTGAACCTCAAGATATTTGATAACTCACTCTACTATCTCCAATCACACCATAATAAATCGACCAAGTGGCGAGCGCGGTCCAGGTGACCGTTCAATCAACAAGGCTCGCTGGCCCTTTGTGCTTTTCGTGTGTTGATTTGTTGCATTTTAAACATTGTGACGCTCTAGTGACTGCGCGATGCACCCTGATTGCCCCTGCCACCCAACTCTGACCGAATTGACCGCCGCTGCGCCACTCGCTGCACCGCTCATCGCACTCCTCACCTCTCCGCCAACTGCGCATGCAGGCACCTGCAACCTCCCTAACCCAGGAACTTGCTTATTAGATGGCGGCCCGGGTCTCTGAGCCACGCGTCGCGCCGAAGGGTGCTGCCGCGCCCGCAGGCATGACTGCCACTGATTGGAACGCAGAGGCGTCGGAGCTGGTGCGCGAGCTGGCGGCGACCCAGAAGGAGGTGGCTGCGATGCTGACGGGGCAGGCGGATCAGGAAAAGGAGCTCAGCGGCATGAAGGAGGCCTGCAGCAGCGAGGTGCGTCCCCGCCGCCGCCGTTGGTCCTGTCGCATGCACTCGCACGCAAAGCAGCTTCGTAATCCGTTTGGTCACGGTGCAACCCGTGCGACGCCGCCGCTCAATCCCCGCCGCTATGCCAACCCTTATACTGCTTGCCGACAGCTGGCCGAGCTGCAGGAGGAAACGTGGCGGCTGCAGATGTTTGCGGAGTTGGAGAAGATGAAGGGCCTCATCTCGCAGCTGCGCCCCATCGACGACGACGCCGCGCCGCCTGCAGACGCGGGGGCGCCGCCGCCGGTCCGCGCGGCGGCGGCGGCCCCTGCACTCGCGCATGCTGCCGCCGCGGGGCAAAAAAGTAAGCACAGCGGCAGGCCTCTTGCCGGGGAGCAGGACGAGGGCAGCTGCGGCGACGGCGATGAGGCTGAGCAAGGGGCTGGGGAGGCCGCGGCGCTGGCGGCCATCGACGGCGAGCTGTCGGTGCTGATGGAGGCGATACGTGTGGCCAAGGACGAGGTGGGGGGCCTGCTTGAGACCAAGTGCGGCCTGCAGCAGCAGATCGCCGACATTTACAGCGCTGAGCTGGACCGGGAGGAGCAGGATGAGGCGGCGGCCGCGGTGGCTGATGGGGCCGGCACAGACGCGGCCTAGGGCAGGCGGTGGTTGGGCCGTGAAACTGTGAACAGGGGCAAGCCCGTGGGCATGCTCGCGCCACCTTGCGCAGAGGGGCGTGGGCAAAAGAGCCGAGCGTGTGTGCATTGAATGGATGCCCAGCTTTGGCAGCTGCTTGTGTGGGCTGCGCTGGGAATGAGGCTGGATTTTAAACGTTTGACTACGGTGGTGTTTGTGATTGCGCACTCTTTGGGTTGCGTCCTTGCTTGGATGTTATCGCATGTGCGTTTGGGCATTGTAGCAACTTATCAATGGTCATAAGAACAGAGTGGTCGGCACTGGGCGCCACAACAGGACACGTGTCGCAGTCCAAATGAGAAGGGATTGTGGGTTCCGCATGAACCACCCTGAGCACGCATGACAAACAGACGCGCCTGGCGCAAGGTCCCTTTCGCTCTGAGGTCTGTATGGGCTGGACTACGCTCTCCCAGTGGGTGTGCACTGGGCGCCATAGTTCGTCTGGAACTTGTGGCAATAGCTGTGCATAAACTCGTAGGGGGTGGCCTGCAACCAGACAAACAGCAGTTGCTCTCCTCTGTGGTAACAGGCGCTTGAAGGAAAACCCCTTGATGCCTTCAACAGAAACACTTGATGATGCTGTTGCCACCAAAATTTGCTGCGCGAAGCTGAACAACAGGCCTTTTGCAACGGCGGACCACAGGAGCATGCGGCAGTTCAGGACGATCGTGCCCCGCAATCAGGGCCATGATAATGACTCCATGAGCAAGCCTGTTTGACTGCCAGTAAATGGTGAAAGCAGAGCCCACTCAGGTGGTAAACTAATTTTAAGAAGATTGTGGGAGAACATTGTCCTGCTTGTCTGATACCCCACTTCTGAGCCTGAAATGTCCAGCCACCAAAGACCATCTCCGTCAAACATGCAGCACCTTTGTACAGGAGTCCTGCGAGCAAGTACCGACAATTAGCCAGGCGCGCGATCATGGTCTACACAATTGAATCAAGACTTACGTTGTATCCCAACTAAAGCAACAGTAAAATGCGACACCCTGATTTGTGGGCTGTTGCCCCAGGCGGGGGGGGGGGAGCTTGCAGAGGTGGTGGAGCAATACACCCCTACTTGCTCATCCTGCAGGGCAGCCTGGCACATAATGCTTTGTTGCACCCCCTGGGAGTTCTGATACCCTCACATTGGCTGTGAATCACATTTCTGCGGAATGCCCAGCCCTCGCCCTTCAGCTTGCTGCCACACTTCACGGCCGCCTGGGCTTGCTTGGGTCCCCGAGCAGCCGCCTCAGACACTTCCCGCTCAGCTCATGTCCACGACCCCTGGAGCCTGCCCATGAACCTCCACCTCAAACAACACAATAATATGCTGCGCTCTGCCATATCATAAGAAGCTGCAGGCAGGCAGTTCGTGAAGCACCCGAAGTCGTTCTACAAGGCTGTCACCACGCGAGGCAACACGATGCATGCCGGTTGACACTTGACAATCGTGTTCCATCATGTTCTGCTGAAAGCTTGTTGACATACCCTCATGACACTCTGAATCGTGCTGTGTCAGGGCGGCAGCCCACGCTCCGACAGCTCTCGCACGCGTAGCTATACTTGAAAACGCGTTCTAGCGTTTGGCAGGAGTCTTGCCAAGCGGGGGCCGCTTATCACGCAGGAAGCGGCCTTCGTGGGTTCAGCGGGCCTTCGTGGGTTTAGCAAGTAGAGCGGGTATGAACATGGAGGACATCACTTCCGGTTCAGGGTGAGTCCCGGGGGTTGGTGTGCCTGAGGGCCAATCCCTTTGCTGGTGGACCTTGCAGCTCGTGACCCCGGCGACGGCCAGGCCACCGCTGTTTGAAAGCGCCGAAATGGATTTCACGTCGGTGCAAGTGGGCGGAGCTGCATGCTCGCCTGCAGGCAGCCGGCCCGACGCCTCGCCCGCGCATGACGCGTCCCGGCGCTTCCCCTAACGAACGCATTCTGATGCGCAGCAACTGCACCCTCGGCTGCCGCCTCGCCCGCCCGCCTATGTGTCCTGGTTCACAACCCCTTCACCCTTGATGCCGCGCCGGGCAGGTGGTCGGCGGTTCCTCCGGAGCTGCTGCGTAAAGTGGTCATCCACTTGCGGGCCGCGGCCTACCCGCGAGAGCAGGCCGCCGCGGCGCTGCAGGCGCTGCGCCGCACGTGTGCGGCGTGGCGCGCGGTGCTCGACGCGGATGTGGCCCACCTGGCGCCGACGGTTCCGCTGGACAACGCGGCCGCGCTGTTCACGCACTTCCCTGGCTGCACCAGCCTGGACCTGTCCCGCTTCCAGGCGCCGACAGCCACCCTCTACCCCCACTTCCACAAGCTCACGCTTAGGTGAGCCCGCCGAATTCACGAGCATACGTGGGTACGCAAGGTCGGCCGTGCAACGACGGCACAGGCAGCTGCTTGCCAGCCCGGCCTGACCTTCCAACCGCCGCACAGCGGGCAATGCCATCCCATACGGCCCCCGGCCCTCGAGCTCGCCCAACCCTCCCTGTTTCACGCATGCGCACGCGCTCGTGCGTCCGCCGCAGGTCGCTGGTGCTGGGAGACCTCCGGTCAGAGTCGTACGACGGCACGCCCCAGATCGCGCTGCCGCTCGCCGCGCTGGCGTCGCTCACGCGCCTCGTTGTCCCCGCGGACTTTCTTCTCGTGCCCAGCGTCCTCGCCGCGCTCGCGGAAGCCTGCGCAAAACTGCCCGCGCTCGCGTCCCTCGAGCTGCCGCGCATGGTGCTGACGCCACACCGCGTGGCCGAGCTGACGGCGGCGCTGTCGCGCTGCGCGACGCTGCGGGCGCTCGCGCTGGGCGGCGCGGGGGCGCCCATGATGGCGGGGGACCTGGGAGGCCTCATCAATGGTGAGTAGTGGTTGTCTGATGGGGGTCTCGTTGGCCCGGGCGCTTTATCAAAACGCCGTTGCCGCTGGCCATAGGCGTGGCCAGCACGCCGCGGGCGCATCTCACCCGTGCATGCCTCTCACCCTCTGCTGCCCAGCAGCCACGTGGTCGCTCGATCGGGCCCCGGCCCCTGCATGCTCACCACCCAGCTCGCCCCGGCCACGTATGCGCCGAAACGTGCGCTCGCCCTCTCCTCCTACCTGCACTCCCCCCCCCCATTTGGTGGCCTATCACAGGCTGCGGCGCGCAGCTGGAGGCGCTGCAGCTCGACCGCCTCGGCGTCCGCGCGCTGCCGCCCGCCGTCGCGCGCCTGACGGCGCTGACCGCGCTGCGCTTCCGCGGGGAGGCCAGCCGCGGCGTGCAGCTCGCGGCGGCGGACGTGTCGGGCCTGGCGCGCCTGAGGGTGCTGGACCTGGGGGCCAACCTGGCAGAGGCGCTGCCGCAGGGCACTACCGGGCTGGACGGGCTCGAGGAGCTGCGCGCACGTGAGGGCCGGCCGCGGGCGCGGGCGCAGGCCCGGCGGAGGGGGTTGGCAGCAAGGGAGATATGCCGGCCTGGCTTAGCGCCGCGTCGAGAGTTGCGATCAGGGTTGGGTGGGCCCCGTGCGCGTGCGCCTGGTGTGCTTTCCCGCGACGCTGCGGCCGTCCAGTGCCAGCCCATACCCCCTTTCATAATCCCCCCCCCCCCTTTTGTTCCCTTTCGTGCTGGCAGCCATGAACCGCGTGTCGTGGGGCGCCGTCCCCCTCTCTGGCCTCAGCTCGCTCCGCCACCTGGACATCTCCAACAACAAGACTGCGGCTGTCCACCCCAGCCTGTGGACGCTGGGGCGCCTGACGCACCTGGACCTCAGCCACAACAGCATTGACCGCGTTGACCCCCAGATCAGCGCGTTGACCGGGCTGCAGGTGCGCGCGGCGGCGCCTCGCGACCCTGCGCGGGGCCGCTCTGAAAGATGCGGCAGTCCGCAGCTATGCTGTTGCTGCGCCTCTGCAATACGTCAGTGGTGGGGATCTCGCTGGTGGCGCGGGTGTTGCGCATGGCGCCCTGACCTGTGCCCGCGCTCCCTCCACCCACCCAACCTGCGCCCCCCCCCAGGAGCTCCGCCTCTGCCACAACTCGCTGGCCGAGGCGCCCCTTTCCCTGGCGCCGCTGACCGGCCTGCGGCTGCTGGACATGGGCCACAACACAGAGCTGCGGGAGCTGCCCGGCGGCATCGGGCAGCTGCTCTCGCTGCGCACGCTGCTGCTCAGCCACATGCGCATCAAGCAGCTGCCGCCCGACCTCGGCGGCGCAGCCGCGCTCGCGCACCTGGACCTGTCGCACAACAGCCTGCATGCGCTGCCGCCGCTGCTGAGCGCGCTGACCGCGCTCACGCTGCTGTCTGCGGCGGACAACAAGCTCCACCAAAACACGGCGGTGCCGGAGGCGCTGGGGTCGCTGCGGCGGCTGCGGATGCTGCTGCTGGCGCGGAACAGGCTGCAGAACCTGCCGGAGGCGATAGGGGCGTTCACGGACCTGAGGCACCTGGATGCCAGCGGGAACCGCCTGCAGGTGCGTGTGTGTGTGGGTGTGTGTGTGTGGAGGGTGTTGGGGGGTTGTGCGCCTCCTCTTTTGTGTGTAGGAGGTGTGGGTGTGTGCGTCACACACACACACACACACACACACACACACACACACACACACACACATGCATACCCCTCCCGCAGGCCGTCCCCCGCGCCATCGCGGGCTGCACCGCGCTGGAGGTCCTGCTGCTCTCGGGCAACCGCCTGCGCGGCCTGACCAGCGGCATCGGCCACTGCCAGGCGCTGCGCGTGGTGGATCTCGAGTCAAACGCCTACCGCCACCTGCCGGCCCCACTGGGGACGCTCACGCAGCTGAAGGTCAGCACACACGCGCGCGTTCACAGGCCCCCGCGCTTGCGCCCCTCAGGCAGCCTTCTCTGCGGACTGGCGCGGACCTGGGGCCGTGACCAGCCCGCGCATGCGCATTACAAGCGGCGTTACAAGCTCGAATACGCTGCGTGTGTGGTGGAGGGCGCCGCTCTGTGCTCGCACCACACCACCCTGTTGAACCCCCGCGCGCGGCCCCGCGCCGTCGCGCTCGTCCGCAAATCTGGACTTGGGACCGCCCTCCGCTAAACACAAGACCCCCGCCCGCTCGCCCCCTTGACACGCGCCCCCGCAGAGGCTGCTGCTGGCGAACAACGCCTTGGAGGACCTGCCAGAGGCCCTGGGGGGCCTGCTGTCGCTGCGGGAGCTGACGCTCGCCGGCAACCGCCTCTTTGTGCTGCCGCCCTGCGTCACGCGCATGGGCGCGCTGCAGCTGCTCACGATCGAGGGCAACCCCCTGGTGGGGCCAGAGCAGGCGGTGTGGGACCTGCAGCGGCGCTGCGGGCCGGGGCTGCGGCTCGACGTCGCGGGGGCGCTTGAGGTGCCGGCGCTGCAGGGCGGCGGCGGCGCTGGCGCCGGCGGCCGCGCGCCGCC